GTTGTGCTCTTGGAGTAATTTTGGTAGGACAGCCACTCCTGGGAAGTTTCAAGTTTTCTCCATTTGTGGATAATGGCTCTGACCGTGGTTCGCAGGAGTCCCAAAGCCTTAAAAATGGCTTTATAACCCTTTCCAGACTGATACATGTCAAGAATTTTGTTTCTCATCTGTTCTTGAATTTCTTTAGATCGCGGCATGATGTGTTGCTCTTTAAGCATGCTTCACTTTGTCAGACAGGTTCTATTTAAGTGATTTCTTGATTTAACAGGTCTGGCAGTAATCAGGCCTGGGTGTGGCTAGAGAAATTTAACTCGGCTTTCTAAAATAATGTGGTTAATCACAGTTCTTTCATGATTTAACAGGTAGGAGGGGACAATTAATTTTTCACATAGGGCCAGTTAGGTTTGGATAGCTTTTTTCCCTTAATAAATGAAATCATCTTTTAAAAACTGCATTTTGTATTTAATTGCATTATATCTTTGTGTAATATTAAAAATTGTTTGATGATCAGAATCTTTTAAGTGTGACAAATATGCAAAAAATAAATAAATAAATAAAAAACAGGGAGGGGAAGCGAAAACCTTTTCATGGCACTATATATATATATATATATATATATATATATATATATACTGTGTGTGTGTGTGTGTGTGTGTGTGTGTGCAATCTTACTCTGACTTCTGTCTCTCTGGGATTCCCATTCAAGTCACATTTAGAGCCATTGACATATGACTGACTATGATACCTCTTTAGCTTATGCTGCTTAGATGCCTAAAAATAGAAAAAATGTCATACAATCATATTAAACAAATAAATAAATATATAGAAGATAACTACAAAGATAGCGTGCAAATAGCATACTTCTGAAGATGTGTGTTAGCTTAGCATGTTCATAATATTGCACCCTGTATTACTAATATTGACTATCAGCTATAAATGGAATTTCCTCTATTTTCTGTAACTATCAAAAAATGAATAACATACCACAAATAAATAAAAAAATAATTAAAACGAAGCACGCTAACTTTTGGCCTTACCTTGGCGGTTTCATTGGTCCAGTCAAACTCTGAATCATAATATCCCAAGAAGAGCACATCTCCCTTGATCTCAGAATCTATAATCACAGACATGGAATATATTTAAAAAACCTTGAATAGTGCGAATACATATTATAGACTACACATTATCCTTCAAAACTTAAACTCATAAATTAATTTTTTTCCTATTAAAAATCTCAAGGGTATACCTGGCATAACACCACTATTCTACAACTCCATTAGACATGGTAAAACATAATTGAGACATTTTTAATAAAGACACCTTCTAAGTGGTACTGCCTGATGTGCTGGCCATAGCAGAACTCATAAGTCCACCAGTCTTTGGTCTATAAACAGAATAAAAATAAACATGTTTTATGTCACGGTGACATGTACTTCATTACCTGCAAAGAACATAAAAGACTAGGCAAATGGCAAAAATGTCATTATCCATGTCAGTGGTTGTGTATATTCAGTATTTGTGTATATTCCAGTCTGTAAGTTACTGTGACAGAACTAGAGGTGATGTCAACCTTAACCAGGCATGGTGCAGTTTGCATGGGCTTGAGGAGATCAGGGACTCCTGGACCACTGTAGCCTTGAACATCAGGTTCTGACACCGGGTCCTGATGGAAACGCATTGCCTGAGCTGGCAAACGACACTCATACAGCTGCTTGTATTTGTTAGAGACCAACATCACATCTTCCATCTAAAAACAGGAACAGAAAAAATGAATTAGAAAAGGAGAACCAGGTAAATGTGGCGATACAGTTTACACCACACTGCCAACTTTACCATACTGATTTTTTTTACCTAACTTTTGCTATTCTGTATTGGAGTACTAGACATTTAATAGGAAAATATGTCACATAGGCAAACCTTTTAATGTCTGATACGTCAAGCTGTGCATAAAGCTAACAGTTGTGTGTAGCAAATAAACATCCCTAGCTAACTGCATCTCTAGCCAAAACAACCTTACCTGTCCCATAATAACAGGATCGGGCAGAATCTGTATTCCATATTTCATTTCATTTAATTCTTCTAAATTCAAAAAACCAAAGACGGACAGGAGACATATTAAGAAAAAAACATATAATCCTCTTAACCACTTAATCAAGGAGGAAGCCATAGTTCTCTCATATCGCAAACTAGCGTTGTCAAATGATTTGTTATTTGGTGCGTGTCAATGTGCGCTAAGGAACGGGGATTGGACAACGTTGTTAAAAGATGACACTTGATTGGATAATATCAACGTCAGTCAGGTTTAGAACGTGCATTGATTGGATCACGTGCAGTAAAAGCCACCCACCAGCCACGAAAATGACTTCTATTGGACCCGCCGAGTATTTGCAAATCAATGTAATGTTACGTCTCGGACTCGTGGGGTCGCTATGGAGCATGTGAAAACGCACAGCCGCACAAGGTAGCCTACGTTGTGTTCGCAACATAGTCTATTAATATCTGAGAGAGAAATAAAATGCCATTATATTAAAGATAAATAGTGTCTCTTTGTAATTAGCCTATATATTATCCATCTTTCTTTTACTCAAAGTTACATTGTTATTGTGATAAATAAGTTACACGGAGAAAATAAACAATGTAAGTCTCAGCAAAAGTAAACAAACCACAAATAGCAGGAGGTTCATGCAATGTTGAGATTTCACCAAAGCCATCATTTTGGTTTAGATTTTAATAGTTCAGTTATTTAAAAAAATCTGTCTTTAAAGTGCACTTTCAGAAAAAAAGGTAAAAGCTGAATCTCGGTAACTTATTTACCCCTTAATGGTAGCCTACATATTTTGTACCTGTTAGTAGGCCTATTTTACAAATAGCCACAGTGTACATATCAGTGCCTTTTGAAAGGGTACTGTCCCAGTAACAATTTTGTACCTTTTTTCCTGAGAGTCTATGTTGGATCAATATTGAAGTTGACAGCACAGGGGTTGGTGACAGTAGCATTGAACCTATTGTAGTTTATTATGACCACAGGATGTGTACTTTTCTGTACCTAGTCGGTGCTTCCTCATTAGACAAAAAACAGCTGCATCCTATACAGATGTTTATTTATTTATTTTTATTTATTTAGTCATTTATCAGACGTTTTTATCCAAAGAGACTTACAAATGAGGACAACAGAAGCAATCAATTGTAATATTAAAACAACTAAAAACAGACCCAAAACTAAAAGCTAAAACTTTATAAATACTACCTATACACATTTTTAAAATAAAGAAATTAAATAAAAATGACAAATGCATACAACAAAATTTCAAAACTTAACATTGAAATGAAAAACACAAAATAAAGCTAAAAACAATTCAAAATATTAAAGAACAAAAGGTATAAGAGTATAATAATGATTCTAACATAACACCAAGCCAAACACCAAAAAAAACTACATACGTGTGTACAACCACACACACACACACACACACACACATATATATATATATATATATGTACACATTTATAAATTCAATATATATATTGTTTCATTTCCATTTAGTTTGTTGAAGTATTAAAATAACTCAAATTAAATAAAACTAAACACTTAATAAAAGACCTATACAGACATAATAAATTCAGACATAATGTAACTAAAATTAAAATAAATAACAAATACAAATAATACAAATCAAATGACAGTAGTTTATCAGTAATCTTAAAAAATAACACTGCCAAACACACATGCTAAAAAACAACAACTTACACATAGTAAGAAATGGTTATAAAAACTGAAACAGAAGTGAAACAAGTAATAGATCAAGTAATAAAACAAGTAATAAGAAAAAATATGTTTGCTGAATCACATGACATACATGAATTCTCTGGCACAATTTTAAAAATGGTGCATCTAATCTAATTTCTCTGTCCCTTTGTTTTACTGGCTTGTTTTTTTATTATTATTTGTATTGTAAAAGTTATATAGTGTTTAGATCCTTTCAAATGCAAGTCAATAGTTAAAACTGAGTGATTAATGCATAAATAAAAATGACATTTTTATTTACAATAATATGGAAAGCTTGGTGCAAAAAAAAGAAGAAGAAGCTTCTCTGGCTGCCCACATTTGACCGAAGCCTGTTTGAATAGCCAGATAGAAAATTCAAACTCGTCGAGTAGAACATTTCGACTTCATCTGAAACAAACTAATATGGTGTTTTGGATGAAAACAGCTCTTCTCATTGAATGATGTCAGATCGAGAAGCAATTAAATGGAAAAGGTGGGAAATGGGGCTTTGTAAGTAGACAGAAGGCAAAACGAAAGCATCTCATTACATTACACCTACTACAGTAGGCCTATTAATAGGTTACATTTTGTTATTTTTGAGTTAATTCTTTCTGAGAGTTAATTCTTTTTGAATTGATAATATCATTATTGTAAGCTAGATAAAGTGGACAGATTAAGCGTCAAATTCAAAATGCAAACTGTCGTGATTTCATGTAAACATTTTTAGCCTACATGTTTACCTGTGTGTGATGGCCATTTGCCTTTGGCTCTAAACACTGCGATCCAGTATCCCTGTAAGAGGTTTGCAGAATGGATAGCAGGCGTCACGTCACATGACAAGATTTCCCCCTTTTGCCTCTCTGCGAGATGATGTCTTTCCATTAATAGGTGCATGGTCTATTATTAATGTTATTGATCATATAAATGATGTTGCTTTATAGGCTACTACGTGGCAGCTGAATGCTTGGATCTGATTGGTTGACTAAACGTTCCAAGGTGTGCAAATAACTTTTTTAGGCCTATTTCATTGAGTCATATCCAAAGAGTAAAGACGTGCGAGAAATTTAGTTAATATCCCCACAAAATTAATGTCCATTCAGATCATTAAGCATTTATAAACCCTCTTCCTCTTGTGGTGAGCGGCAGGCATGAGCGCGTGTTGTGAAGCTGCATCACTCTCTCCTCCTCTCTCATATGAGCGCATTTCAGCGCGCTGCAGCCCTCCATCGCTATTCACAGAGGGGGTAGCCCGACTCCTCTCCGCTCTCCTCCATTCTGTCTCAGAGGTGGATGCCATGCCATCGGGTTTTCTCCATTTATCAGCTGTTTGCGTTCACATGACAAGCGCGCCGGGGGTATTTTAAGGGTAGGGGATCCCTCTTGGTGGCGACATTACAGGTAAGATTTATCTGAACGTGTTCGGTCGCTCATCCGCCCTGTTGTGATTAGCACTGATATCATTTTGTCAGTTATTTACGGCACATTTGTTTCTTTCTGCCGCACGACTGAGTGAATATAATTAAATATGCACCGCTAAATTAATTGATCGCCACTCACTCTGTGGTGTTTGAATAGAACAGAAGGGATTTGGTTTCTTAGATACATTTCTAATGGAATTATGGCTCTGCATTGCCTTATGGAATTTTCTGTGCAAGATGTGACATATGGCGACAACAGGCCAAGGGGCTTTTGGTACCTCTCTGTTTTGCTGTACAGGCGGCAGAATGGGCGTTAGACAGTGGCAATGATGAGTACGCCAGTTATCATGTCCTTTAATGACTATTGACTCTTTGCCAAGGCTTTGAACGGCTTCTGTCTCGAAGGCCAGCGGTGCATGCTGTGCGGCCTGTGTGAAGTATATAGTTTACAGTGGGCTGGGAATCACCGCACATTGGCCTTCTGTATAGATAGACTATACCACATCAGTATGAGGAGGGAAGTCGCATCCACTCTACGTGGCTGCGCATGTGTTTTAATTTTATTTTTTATTTTTTTATCTCTATAGCCATGGATAAAGTAATGTAAGTGCAGGGGGATGTTTTATTCACCGCGTTAGTTGCGCAATGTTTTTCCCGTTTGTCTTTGATTGCTTACAAAAGTCTGCAAAGCTAAAACATCTAGCTCTGTTAATGAATTCATCTGGTATATTTTCTTTTTTCTTTTCTAAATTATTTTATACAGCTGACAGCGACAAGCTGTTGATTTCTTTTTCAGGGAAACATTTTTAAGTTGTTGAATACAGCCTACCACATTTAAGGTGGTAATGAATTAAAAAGTAGTTTGCAGTAACATTAAAGGATATTATTGAAGTACAGAAACGGCATTTTCAGTTTACAGAAAGATGTTTTTGTTGTAGAGATTAAGACTATTTAATTGTGTCTTAAATTAAATTTTACATCCTTGTTATATTTTAGGGTATACAGGTATACTGCATAAACTGCCTCATTGTAATCTCAGCTCATGTGAAGACTGAGTATTGCAATTAGCTATAGCTGGGTAGTAACTGATGACATGTAATCTGGATTATGTAATCAGATTCCAAAAATTAAGTACTTGTAATTAGATTAAATTACATTTTAAAATACTTGTAATCAGACTACAGTTACTTTTTATGGATTACACGATTACATACTATTTACACAATAGCAATAAATTATTCATGATTTAATGATTCTATCTAATTCCTTTCATCTTTTAATGTTCCTTTCTAAAATAGCCTACTGCTTATACACACTGAAAGTATTTCTGTTTTGTCCACATTCACACAAAGACTGGATTTACAAAAATCATTTCAGGTTTAAGAAGTGTTTCAACATCACATCAACTACTGATGAACACATTCATTTTTATTTGAATTATCATTCTGTAGGTTATTTGTATTTCTATGTCTTCAGAAGGCTTTTGTCTTTCACATTAAAATGCACACATTTTTCTCATTTGATCCTGTGTTTTACTGATGAAGTGTTTTATTTTGATTGATTTTATAATGACTTATAATTAATTAAATCATAAACATTTTAAATGAAAATGTATTTATTTATTTTTTGTAATGCGCTTCATGTTGTTAATAACAATGAATGGAATATATTTTCTTAATCTTTGTATTTTTATATCAATATGGTATAAGATTATACAATTTAAATCAATGCAATAAACAAGATTTTTGACATGTAATTTGGAATGGATTTGGTAACGGATTTGTAACAATTTAAAGGGGTCATATGATGCTGCTAAAAAGAACATTATTTTGTATATTTGGTGTAATGAAATGTGTTTATGTGGTTTAAAGTTCAAAAAACACATTATTTTCCACATACTATACATTATTGTTTCTCCTCTATGCCCCGCATTTTTGAAATGCTTGATTTTTACAAAGCTCATCGGTCTGAAAAAGCGAGGTGTGCTCTGATTGGCCAGCTATCCAATGCGTTGTGATTGGCCGAATACCTCAAGCGTGAGACGGAAATGTTACGCCCCTCACATTCTGTTGATGCCGTGTCCCGGCCGGAGCGACGAGACAAAAACATTAAGACCCATTACAAACGAGGCATTTGTTGCATCCTGTGGGGACATAATTACTGATTATAATGACTTATACTGTCTTTTTATTTATTTATTTTATTTTATTTATTTATTTATTACAGGGACAATGCATATTAATAAACATTTCTGTCAATATGCCAGAATTAGCCAGAAGGCTATTTTTCACCTGCAGTCCCTAGACAGATGGTAATAGTCACCCTAAAAGAGAATAAAATTACATATTAACATAACAATAAAACAATTACAATACATTTAGTAAAAAGTACTATTAAGCTATGATGTACAATAGAAATGCAACAGACCAACAATCAGACAAACATCAGACAAATACATGAACATACACACACACAAAGCAAAAAAACCAACAGGGGGCAGCGAGAGCTCCTCCTTTTTACGCGTTGCGTTGCATTGCATCGCGCCGCGTAAACATAAAACTCTGTCTGCATTTGTGATCGGAGAAATGACAAACAACATGTGCTACTCTACTGCCCAAAACTCGCGTTTGAATCATCAGTGGCAAATCCTTTAAATGAAAACGTACTTAAGTGAGCCAGAACTGCCGGCATTGTAGTCTAACGTTACTCTCCCAGGATCAGTAAACAGTCCTCCATAAAATGTGCTGCACACATCTGGATATTTGGGTTAAACTGTTCTGGAACAGTGTTGTAAATACAACTTAACCACTGATTTGTAGTCGTGTCCTCTTTTGGAAGACCAAACAAAGTAGTTTCGCTTTCACAAC